AGTGTAGCACCTTTTCACATTAAAAAAATGCATATCATAGTAGCAATTACATGTAATATTCTTAATAAATTCTAGGGACTTTGACTCCTATAAGCGTGACCCTTGATGAATGTAAACCCAATTCAATTTTCAAATGTTGCTTCGTAAACATAATTCGGTCCTTTTTATTCATTGGCCGGTCTAGCGACTCGATTAAAATCCGAGGTTAGCAAAATATTTAATCTCCGTTCTGTCAGATGTTGGGCGAGCTTTTAATTGATTTTTCACGTTGGAGTTGACGACCGACGTCTGTGTATAGGCAGCAGCAAAGCGGATTACGTTTGCAACTTTATGTGTCTATATTTAAAATCCTAAAAAAAAAAAAAGTAAAAATTTAAAACCCTATTTACATAATAAACGAAATGGGCGGGCGGTGTATAAAATTATAAGGGCCACTAGAGCAGGGCAAAAGTGTATAGGCGGTAGGAATAAATAGGCCAAGCCTGTGTATTCATCACTTGGGATGGCTAAAATAAGTCACCAAGTAATCAAATGTTGAAAAAGCCACGAAAGTGATGTGAAAGGGCAAATAAAATGAAAGATATTTTAATACATATTTAAAAAAAAAACTGTAAACTGTAAACTAGTGAAACATTAAGGAGTGATACGCATTATTGGAAAATAAAGGAATAATTAATTTATATCCGTAACAGACGTGTGTGCGGATGTATAGACATAACAATTTTATTTGTTATTTCAAACTAGTCTATGCTATAATTTTCATAAGACTAATTTATAGCGGCGATTGAGAAATGAGAAATAAGTTTTGGTGTTATTCCCCAATAACCTCTGTACAGACGAGTGCTCTTTGGCCAGCAGTGGGACATATCACATATTTATACAGGATGATACTTTATTTGAATGCAACCTGAACTGAAAACAAACTGCTTCATAACGGAACCGTCTTATGACCAAAAGAATTTTCTTTTATTAACCGTTTATAATTTCTTAGGCATTGTTAGTATTTCGCTGCTGTTTGTTAACCGCCGTCTTTGTTAACTGCAGCTCTCTCGTTATGGCCCTTTTAAAGTATTTTCGCGAAGGCTGCTTACTGTATTTCATTGTGTTCATTTGACAATAATTAATGGCGCGTTTTCACCAAACAAAATGGGCCGAGCTTCTCGTTTGACGTTTGTCATTTATTCCATGAATTGACCATTGTGTTGAAGCTTTTGGAACTGTGCACGGGAAGTGCTAAATATCCGACACGGAGGGACCAAATTAACGTCTTCCGCTTACGGTGATATCCAAAGACAAAGTTTTCCTTAACAAAAAATATTTCATAACTCACAGATACTACTATTCCATGGGAAACACTTTATAAGATACAGCTAGATAATGTTCTGTTAGATTATTTGGCCCAATTAATTGCATTCAATAAATAAAATTAGCGTACTTGATCTGTCAGGGGAGATTTATTAGCGTGTCGTCGATTTACACAAATTAATGGCTGTTAATTTTTAAACTGCTTGAATTAAATTCATTGAATGTGATGCACAACGTTCTCTAGTCCCAAACTAAGCAATGCTTCTACTATCGGTACTAGGTAACTGATAAACATACTTTTCTTTTTCAAATTAATGCATATTATACATACCTATATAAACACCCAGACACTAGAAAAACACTATGTTCATCATAGAATATTTTTCCAGTAGTGGGGATCGAACCCACACCCTCTTGCACAGGAGGCAGGTATAACCCGTTGAATACTGCATTTGAACCTAATGGGCTAGATTCGAAGCTAGGTATAAACTTCTAATAAATTAATTTTTAATTTTCGAAATATTTTTTTGTTATTATTTCGAAAATATGCAGGTTTCCTCACAATGTTTTCCTTCACCCCCGAGCACGTGATAAGTCAGCACTTAAAATTAACAATTTCATTGGTGCTGGCGCCGTGGATCGAATTCAGGTTGAACGAGTAAATTGAATTAAAGGCGAGTACTGATGACCGTTAAATTGGTTACTACACCGCGTTCCATATTGTGTCCCAGGTTTATTTTTATTAAACGAGTGTTACTTTTTATATGTGAAAAGGTGGCGGGCGAGCTGGCGGTTAACCTGATGTTGACGGGAAAGTAACCTCCACTTGACGCCGGTATTCTGTGAGGTCGTGGTACTTCCAGGGACGGGCCAGCCCATTCGTGCAACGGCGAAAACTGTTTCGTGACCGTACCACAGTTAATTACAATCAGTTTTGACATTGCACTGTGCGTTTTAGAAAATCCGGCAACGCACACTATAACTCTATAACTCTGAATCTACATTACTCGCAATACGCCCGGATTTAATACTAGAAAACCGAAGGCTTTTTGTCAACCACATTATCTTTTAGGGAAAAACTATCGATATTAACTAACTATATTTTTAGCCGATATATAAACGATTTTCTTCAAATTATAATCCGGGACAGCGAGTCCTTACATTCAAATATTTAATACTTGGCATACGTTTTTTTTTTTGACAACAGGGCCTATAAAGCAATTATCGATATATCGAGGGGTGGGCCTTAAGATGAACATGGACAAGACGAAGATCATGTCTAATGTCCATGTCACGCCTATACCGGTTGTCGTTGGGAGCACTGAGCTCGAAGTTGTTGACGAGTACGTTTACCTAGGACAGTTAGTCCGGCTAGGTAAGTCCAACTTCGACGCAGAGGTCAATCGGCGAATCCAACTCGGATGGGCAGCGTTCGGGAAACTTCGGCAAATCTTCTCGTCGAATATACCTCAATGTTTGAAGACTAAAGTCTTCAATCAATGTGTGTTGCCAGTGATGACCTACGGAACCGAGACGTGGTCCTTCACTGCTGGCCGTATGAGGAAGCTCAAAGTCGCTCAGCGAGCTATGGAGCGGGCTATGCTCGGTATTTCTCTGCGTGATAGAGTTCGTAACGAAGACATCCGCAGTAGAACCAAGGTAACCGACATAGCTCAGAGGATTAGCAAGCTGAAGTGGCGATGGGCCGGCCATATAGCTCGTAGAACCGATAACCGTTGGGGAAGAAAGGTTCTCGAGTGGCAGCCTCGTACTGGCCATCGCAGTGTAGGACGACCCCCCACTAGATGGAGTGACGACCTGTGCAAATGTGCGGGAAGTCGATGGATGCAGGTGGCTCAGGATCGTACTTCGTGGCAGTCTGTGGGGGAGGCCTATGTTCAGCAGTGGACTCAAACAGGCTGAAATGATGATGATGATGATGATATCGAGGCCGATATTAATATATTTATAAATATCGATATATTTCTTCACTTTCGGCATACCTGTTATATTTATTGACGACACCGCATCTATCTCTGTCACATATGAGACACTAAATTTGTAAATATAGAAATCTCACTGGTGCCGGTGAAGTGAATTTTAAACGCAGCGCTTGCCATACTAATACCGCGTTAATTGCTAATTCACAACGAGCTGTCGCGATTGCAAAGCTATCACATCATTTCATTGGTACCTACGCTCGCAAAATCAAATTGGAAACCCCCGAATGGATTTGTGCACAAGCATCAATTTTGAAACTGATTACCATAGCTTTAAGCGCACCTCTATAATATTAATATCTAGTTGTCCCAAAAGAATGTCTGTCTAGACTAATCGAATATTCTTTCGAATATATTTAGAATTGTGTGATACTTCAACATATCACGTGGCAAGATATGATGGTTCTATGATTAATCGCTCAACCATAGATTTAACCATAGACTCGAGTCAAAGTCAAAAGCCAAAGTCAAGTAAAAGTCTAAATTTCTATAATTAACTAGCGGACCCAACAGACGTTGTCCCGTACGCGACTTAAATTCGACAACTTATACATAAATAATAAAAAAACACATTGTGAATCTAAACCATTCGCGAATCGACCTGAAGACACACAAAAAATTTCATTAAAATCGGTCCAGCCGCTTAGGAGTTCAGTGACACACGTTCGGAAGAATTATATATATAAAGATATACCTAGGCTTAATTTAAGCTCTTATTATTATTATTCACTAAACTAGACCTACCAGTGAAGAACCGGGAAGCAACTCTGCGATCTTATCTTTTTTCAACAGTGTAAACGAATATCATCGAATGACCTTTCCTCTTAGCTCTTTTTAGGAAATTCTATCAGAAACAGAGAATAAGTCACAATAACTTTTCTAAACAACTTTATGAAAGTTCGCTAAAGTTTAGATTTCAAAGGGTTCTAAGATCTTGTTTGTAGCTTTTAATTACTCTAAATAATCAAAGCATTCATCACATTGAGATTAGATAGAAGATTTCAAAGTTGAAAAAGTTATGTATCGTTACATAAAATGATGTATAAATAAAGATGGAGATACACGCATTTGTTGGATATTAATCAACACGCAGGAGACAGCCTGAAATTTTGAATTTAATGCCATAGTATTTATGCCACAAGTTCATCCAAATATTGTATTATACAGGAGCTTCTCAGCGCCGGACAATACAATATTATAAAAACGAAACTCGTTGATTAGTATCTAAATGTTCCAATGTATTACTGTTGCGCGAATGAGCAGGCTCATCCCGGGTAAGTACCACGACCTCACAGAAGACCGGCGTCAAGTGGGATTATAATACTTTCGCGTATCGCTGATGAGTGAGGTGGCCGGAGCCCAATTTCCAAAAGGTTGTCAACGCATCTGCAACACTCGGGTGTAGCAGATGTCCATGGGCTGCGGTATTCACTGAACATCAGGTGAACCGTCTGCTCGCTTGGCAACTTTTCACATAAAATAAAAAAATAAATAAAACATATATATCGCCAAGCTTACTGTCTGCGACATTTAGGTCTCGGAGACGTCAAAAGAAGTTAGCACTAAACTGAAGAGGACGTGAGGTAATAATGCATGAAAACAAACAAAAGTGAACTTTATTCAGCGAATCGTAAAGCTGTAAATGTATCGCCATTTTCGGTCTAAAAGGATTACAACTGTATATAAATTACGTCAAGCGCAGTCGGCCTCGTGAAGTAGGATTGCGCGTCTCACGTAGCGGAAATGGTAGAAACTGAACACCACGACGAACGAGAAGAAGTACAGCACTGAAATAATACACCAAAACATTAGGAAAATATCATATACTTCATCCAATTGCAGGCAGTTATTCTTTTACTTTTTTTTATGTAAGAAGATGGCAAGCGAGCTGGCGGTTCACTTGATGTTAAGTGATAACCTCCACCAATACACCTTTGCAACATCCGTAGGGTCACAAATGCCATTTTCAATAAAGTGGGCCCCGGCTGCCTCAATCAACAGAAGAATCGCAGGAGTATAACGCTTCCACCTCACGGCGGTCTTCTCTGAAGTCGTGGTACTTCCCCGGATGGAACTGCCCATTCGTGCAACAGCGAAGACTGATGCCAATGCCACAGTTAACCGGAGACGAAGTAGACGAGCCCTTTTCCAACACGCCAGTCAGATGTTAGCCATCAAAACGACGATGCTCTTAATGGCTGTGTCTCATTTATCATCATAGGATGTCGTGGAAACGTCTGGATTTAACGATGTTTTACCTCAGTATTTGCTATCTGGTCAACTGGTTTCTGGTTTTGATTTGGCGTCATATTGTGAATATTCTCTTAAATTTGATGATCACCTATTAAAGCCGCAGCGAAATGTTTGCCTCTAAGCTGGTTTAAAACTTACAGTTAATATTTAATATGGAAACATTTTAAACATTAGCTTACTTTAGTAAAGATTAATTCAGTCGGAAGAAAAATGTAATAAAGAAGGAATGATAATTGAAATAGGCTATAAAATGAAACATAAAGTAAAACAAAAAGTAACATTAGTGTGATTTAAAGATATTAATATAACGGAGTTTGATATTTTCTTAGTAAAAACAAAAGGCAAATACTGTGGAAGTGTCACCCAGTAGCTTCTTCTGGTTGGCGATTAGTCAGGCTCTTACTGGGAAGTACCGCGGCCACACAGAAGAACAGCTTGAAGTGGATATACAAACATATAAAACTTATATGTTTGTATTTCCTATGGTAAGAGACATAGTGGGTTAAATTTCAAAGGTTGACAACGGATCTGCAACCATTCATGTCCAGATGCGGTAGTAAACATTTAAGATCAGGTGAACCGTCTGCTTGATAATTTATAAATACAAAATAAAAACTCACCTGCTCCCAAAAATGTGAACAAACCACTAACGCAAGCCAAGTTGACCAGCCTGTGCTGCTCATCTTTTATTTTAGACGCTGAAAAACACCAAAGTGAGGGAGTGAAATTCATTAATAATATAAAAAATGAATAAGTAAGAAATTATAAGTTGTGTACTGACGTAATTGTAATGGCACTAACGAACAGCTGATGTATATTTAACTACTTTTGTCTTATATAGTGTACACAATGTTGGCGTTCATCAAATAAATAAGTAATTAAAAAAATTCAAAACAGTTAAAAGCTAAAATAAGGTTAACGCAAGAACCATAGTCAACACAATCAAATAATTATATACCGTCATTGTCTGTAAAGTAGTTGAAAAATATGCATGAAAACATGTTTATTGACAAACAGAATTACACTTAAGTACATTGTGCGTTGGCACCGGTCATTGAATACTCGAAGAATATATTGCTTAGTGATAAAAGACTAAAAATAATTACCGTCTTTAAATCGCACGCAGGCCCTGCCAATCTTAGCCACGGCGAGGGACACTAGACCCATCAAAACAAACATGGCAACCAACAAATATACCTGAAACATTAAAATACTTTTACATGTTACGTTATCTCCAGCGATATAATGAAGAACTTTGAGAACATTCAATTGCTTCGGTTAAGATTATTGTTAAAATGTTCACAATACTCGTAGATGACTCGGCTCAGCTCTATGTTATTGGCTTCGGCGTGAATTACCCTAACTGTAAAATACGATACAAACAGCAAGAACATTGTAAAATTTCTGTAGTTGGTGCCATATTCTTACATGATATGAATGACTTCATCCAACTTAGTGACATATTGGCATTGGCATCCACAAAATAAAAATAAAAACCAACGGTTCAATTGATCGTTGACATCGCATTGCATCACAGATATGTAATACAGGTAACCTAGCACAGGAGTCAGAGTTCAAAATATCGTACATTACCTTTTCCAATTTTATAAATGTGACATTAAGTGTTTTCTCTTTTTGTATTGGTTGCATGAATAAATAAATTATTATTATTATTACCTAAATTGTATTAGGACCCGAGTGGACATAGGCACAAAGAGATGTAGCGGTGAATGAGAAGAGTTGTGACTTTTACCAGCATCGCACGGCAGTTCTCGGTGAGAGCGACCACGATGAGCAGGAGACCGGCGCCGGTGACACCGCTCAACACGGCCCCAGTTACCATACTAATTACTGTTGAAGAATTTGACAATATACAGTACCTTAAAATTGGCAGAAAAAATTAAAATTTGTGAACCGCTGCGGGAACCGAACCCACGTCTACCGCATGCGCGCCCAGACGCTTTAACCACAACGATAATTCGAACAAGAGATGATGGCATTGCATATGACATTTAAATTTTTATAATGGTAATAGGTAGAGTACCACTAGTTTTGACACTAGCGCGTTTTTGAAAAGGAAACATACTATATAAATATACTTAATAGTACACATGCATATTGTAGGAAAGAAAAGCCGAGAAATTCTATAAAGTCCAGTTTTAATGCAACGTCACTTGCTCTGGGTATCGGGCGTTTGGTGCATCACGTCGTACTGCCTCCCGTGCGTCAATATCAGCGTTAGAAGCACGGAACCCGCCAGTGCCTGGCCGAAAGCTATCAGCAGCACCCCTGGAAACAGGTTGCAGACGCCGCAGCAGCTCTCCACGTGGCAGCCAGGCTTGTGGACGGCAAAGTGCAGCGGCACCCTCGGAGACGCCCCACTTTCACTCGTCGGCTTCTTCTCCACAGTGCTCGTGTACTCCGTAGTACTTCTCGCCATTATTAATAAATACCAGTGTAGTACCTCTTTCAGTAAAATATTTGACTAAAAGATGGCATTAACAAATTTGACATTTCAGTTTGAGCGATTAGATTGTGATGACATTAGTGCGCCATTTATTTGGAATATGCTAAAGATGAGTAAAGTGGAAATTAAAAGAGTATTTTTATATTCAAAGTGTGTATGCATATTAACTGTGATAACCTTCGTTTTTAACTTTATTATTATTACATTTACATTGACAGTATACAATAAAATAAAATTATCACTTCTTTGGAATTCAAACGCTTGGTTCGTTTTAAAGATAATCATGGTCACTACCGCAGTTTTATAATTAAAATAAACTCGAATGTTCTTGTCTCTTCTCTCTGGAATATTTAACGTTCTGTATATATATATTAACTGTTCTGTAACGCAGTGTTATATTCATTTTACATTATGGAAAATGCGTTTTCATAATGACTTTGAGATTGAGCTAAAACATAATGTTTCTGACCATAAACTGGGAACAAAGTCATTTGTTGCAAGGCATCCAGCTACGTTCTCCGTTGCATTTTAGATTCAAAATGTATATTTTTTTATCCAAAAACTACGCTTCGATTCCGACACAGAACCGAGATGTATTTTCGAAGCAAAGGAAAAAGTCTACTCAGTAAACTGTTCCTTAAAATAGAATACCTTTGTAGGTTGGAACATTCTATTTATGAAAAAAATCTCACGTTTCTCACGTTTCTCTATCGAATGTTCTTTTGTCGCTAATTTATTGAAATGTTTTAAACCCTTTTCCTATATGTACAACAAAAATAAAATAAATTTAAATATTTTGTCACCATATTTCTTAACTTTAGACTATTTTGTGCATTCTAGTTGGATTCATTAGATTTCTGAATATTATCTGAGGGATGTGAGTGTGATGAAAATTTAATAGCAAAGACAAGCAATAGCCAGTACAAATGTGTTTGTGTGAGCGAACAGCCGCCATATAATTAATGCTGGTACTGCAAAAACCTTCAGTAAGGAAGTAGACAAGTGACTTATGATAAGTGAGACAAACAAGTCAACCAAGTCAAACTTTTGGTGGGTGATCAACGTCGCTGCTCTTCTTGAAACTCTTGTTCTGAAGATCCCTAAGCTACGAGTATATCGGTCTAAGATCAGAATTACTTGAAAAGCGCACTGTGGTGACCCGAGGTGATCAAGCCTCTTTATTCTTACACCTACATCTAGTCAACGCTCGTAGAAACACCAAGAATGGTTATGCTAGTCCGGGAAAGTACCAAGGTGTCACTGAAGACCAGTGTTAGGTCTAAGTATTATAATTTCTCGTTGCGTCTGGTGAGTGAAATAACTAAGTAAATAATTCCTTTATTTACTTACACCTTTTTAAAGGTTGTCAAGTCATCTGTAAGCCTTCAGGTGGAAGGCCATGGGCAGTAAAGGTCACTAAATATCAGGTAAACCGTATATTTGGTTGATAACTTCTCACATAAAAAAAATCATCCACGTATACTAAGGAACCAGCTGAAAACCAGAGGTATTTTCTTGTAACAAAGGTATTTTCAAAATTATCTTCACACAGCATGTCCCGTAGTTTCCGTAGTTTTAATAATAAATTCGTCTTTCTCTTTTATAATGCCGCATTTTAAATATTTCATTCAGTTCGCCTGTCCAGTTGGGCAATGCAAAATTGCTGCAGCAATATTGCATTTTTAAATTGTTGTTGAATATTCAGGAATGAGCTCTTTCGAATCTTTTGTTACAAAAAGTTGTATATCACCGTCACACAAGTATAGAATTGTACTGAGAATAAATGAGATGAAATTTTTTTAAACATCACATTCTTTATATTTCTCATAGTTATGAAAATTTCAAAATTTCATGCTTTCATTTATTTTGTTTCAGCGGATTATTATTTTACATTAATCTCTGGAGTTAGTACATGAATTGGTGAGACAATAAGAATTTATTTATAATACTAGGAAGTTCCTTCGTGAATATATACGTATAGATACGTTTTATTCCATCCTTATCATCATTTCCACCTGTTAGTGTCGACTGCTGAACATATGCCTCGCCCACAGACTGCCACGAAGGAAAATCTTGATCTACCCGCATATATGGACTTTCCGCACCTTTTGCACAAAAAGTCACATCATCTAGTCGTCCTACACTACGATGATCAATTCGAGGCCGATACCCTTTCTTCCCCATAAGGTTCTTATTTTGTTATGATGTATGTATATACCTTTTTTCTACTATCATTTACTATTGATTGAAGGCTTTAGGGTATTTAGCCTTCAAACACTGAGGGATTTCGAACGAGAAGATATGCGAAAGTTTCCCTGCCCACCCGAGTTGGATACGATTGGTTATACAGCAGAACCTAAAAAAATAATAACTCTTTATGGCGTAAGTAAACAGGTATCGAATCAACTTACGTAAGGAGTACGTGTACCAACCAGGTACGTAAATTGATGTAAAAAATATATGTTACACTCTTTCGACGCTTTTACCACGCTCGGAAGGTATGCCAATATTCATGTAAATTCGTTTGACACACGGAAATGTGTTTTCGGAGATAATAGAAATAGATTTATCCCCGTGATGTAAAGAGTTTATTGGAGGATGGCGTTTGATGGAAGAGAAAACGAGCTCCCGCGACTTTCATTTATGTTAAAAGGAAACAGTTTATGCAATCCAATTTCCAAGATGCTTATTAATGAGTAATTAAATGGTCGTCTGTTACGGTGTTTCGATGCGCTATTGTCACATGTACCCCTTATTTATGTGGGGGGATAAATGAAGGTCGTTTCGCTAGGGTATCTTCTTTATTACGCGGATTAACAAATTTTACTTTAAGAGCTCAAACGTCGTTCCTACTGTGTATCGCCATTACTCTTTTTTCCATCTCTTTCACACAGCTCTTCCTTTTCCTAACTTCCGTTCGATCCGTTTCATGCATCACTTATTCATTCATCCCACATTTGTATATAATATCATTGTAAATACCACAATAACGCACCTTACATATACAATAAAGGCAAATATCTATTTTGCGATTGTAAGTATCTTCGTTGATTATCGGCAAGTAAATTTCTTTGAATTATTGGACCTTTAGTGCCTGGCGTGACTAACCATTAGTTGCAATGATATTTTAATAAAGATGAATGTCCACACTGCGCGGTTTTTACAAACTGTTCCGCTTTTCATCATCATATGACATAATTTGTGAGTGTGACAGATGATGTAGTAGGTATGATACGGAAAGAGATAGCAAACTAATCAATTACAACAACTGCCCTAATTTGAGTGCCTCTGTTTCAGCGCGATAGTGTCATATGTACCAATAACAATTAGGATTATTATATTAACTGTTACTGTTGATATATTAATTACATATACAAATAACAATTTGTATATGTAATTAATATATCCTGATAATACTACTATAATTAATGATATATATAAGTATATTTATATAATATATAATAATATTATAAACACGAAAGTTTGTATGTATGGATGGATGTTTGTTACTCTTTCACGCAAATACCACTTAATGGACTTTAATGAAACTGTACAATAATATAGCTCATACATCAGAATAAGACAGGCTATAATTTATATACATATTTTATGTATATCTGTCTTTCTGTCTGCCTTCAGCCTATTCTACGCAGACGTAGTCGCGGGCAGCAGCTAGTATATGAATAAATTAAAGATTATGCTGCTTCGTTATTTTGTGTAATCGTGCGTAAAACAAAATATATATGGAAGAGTTTCCATATTAGTTTGGTATTTGTGCGTTTTATCTTATTTGAACTAAATTTAAAACGGAAATCCGAAAATTAGTAAGAGAATAACTATATGAAAAAACTAATTAGATATCACGGGGCAAAGCCTGTTTATAATTAAATGATAGGTTATATTTTCTGTCTACTTCTCAATATATTTTAGACAGATTATAACATAATATATGACTTATTTCAATGGGCATAGTAAGCTGTGGCCAAAAGGATCATAGGTTTTTTGTCGATATTACAGCAAATATTGGTGAGAATTTCACAGAAACAAGCAAATCGATTATGGAAATTATACAAACAACGCGGTAATTGGAGAACCTTTATAAAAATATTCTTGTCATTCCGATTCTAGCAGTCGTCGGCCCCTGAACTGTTTTTAAATATATTTCCTGTGGTGTTTTATTTTGTCAAATAAAGCTACTCAATTTTGGTCTTTCCTTTGACCTTTACTTTGTATTCATTATTTATTCATTTACTGATTTGTTTTATGCCTGTTGCCAGGGAAAGAAAAAAACGTTTAGCAAAGTCAAATACCCAAGTAAAGTACACAGGGAATCTATAAATAATCTATAAATATATTCAAAAATAATACCGTAAAGTATAATAGTAAAGCATCAGCCTATACATGTCCCACTGCTGGGCAAAAGCTACCTCTGGACAGAGGGTCCAGGGCATAGTCCACCACGCGGCCCCACTGCGGATTGGCGGACTTCACATATCTTCGAAATATTTTTTTTATTATTATTATTTCGAAAATATGTAGTTTTCCTCACGATGTTTTTCCTTCACCGCTGAACACGTGATAATTCGGCACTTAAAATTAACAATTACATCGGTGCCGGCACCGGGGATCGAACTCGGGTTGCTCGAGTATATTGAATTAAAGGCGAGCGCCCGGACACTGAGCTATCACGGACGCTATACAGTCCAGTACATTTATGACACCCGAGTTTTTTCTGTTTTATTTAGAAGCTATTTACGAGCTTTGGTGTTACTAATTTGAAAGGTACAAGTAGTTTGTTCTCAACCTTTATTATGATACTGTTTTATATTGTAAATGCTACAAAGTGCACAATATAGGTACAATAAATGAAAAAAATCAGAAATTCTGGTGGTAGTGCTCACTTGGCTAACCCTAGTACAATAAATTCCTTGTATTTACGCGATTACACATGTGCAATTACAAAATATATTTAC